AAAATTTTTGGTGTTTTGATTACCTCATGCTACATATTTAATTAACCGCATTCCCACACCTTTTTTAAACAACACCTCCCCTATGAAATTTTACATGGCAGCCCATGCAATGTTTCCACTTTACGGGTTTTTGGATGCTTATGTTACATCAGCACTCTAAAAGCACATAGACAGAAACTTGATCCTCAAGCTCATCCTTGTGTTTTCCTTGGTTTTAAACCACACACAAAAGGATACCTTGTGTTTGACCTTCATACTCACACCTTCACTGTCTCATGCAACATCCTTTTTTATGAAAATCAGTTTCCATATCCATCTTTAAATATTGATATTACTACTTTCTTTTCCCCTTTTCCTCTTCCATTCTCATATGATAACACCTATATTGAACCTACCTCTCTCCTTCCCACCAACACTTCTCTTTCTCCTCCTGCCTTAACTTCTACAGATTCCTCTTCTTCTCCCACTACCAATACAACCTCTCTTCTTGACTTACATCACTCCACACGTATTAGACAACCTCCCTCTTACCTTCAAGATTATCATAGTGCCCTTACATCAACTACTGTCATTCCCTTATCAGGTATTCTTTATCCTATTCATTATATTTTTTCATATTCTTGTCTTTCACCGTCTTACCATCATTTTATTATGTTTATCTCTTCCAACACCGAACCCACTTCTTATGCTGAGGCTTCAAGACATGATTGTTGGGTTAAAGCTATGCAAGCTGAATTACTTGGTCTACAAATGAATCAAACTTGGATTCTTACCACGTTACCACCTCACAAAATTGCCATTGGATGTCATTGGGTATACAAAGTCAAATATAAATCTAATGGATCCATTGAGCGTCACAAAGCTCATTTAGTTGCAAAGGGTTATACGCAAAGGGAAGGGCTGGATTTTCTTGATACTTTTTCACCTGTAGCTAAGCTTACTACAGTGCGACTATTACTTGCACTAGCCGCCATCAATAACTGGCATCTTAAGAAACTTGATGTTAATAATGCATTCTTGCATGGCGAGCTTCATGAAGAGGTATATATGCAGGTCCCTGTTGAGAATTCTGTTGAAGTACTTTTATTTATAATTATAGATTAGGTTACTTCATATACCAGCCTTTATTTAAATGCTGGTAAAAAAAATAATAATTATTTATATGATCGCTAAATAATAAATTAATTGTCACAAAAAATTAATTTTGGTGTAGTGTTTTGTTTTGTAAACTAAACAATAAATGAGGGGAGAACGAAAATAAATTTGGTTATTTGTTACACAGGGAATGTGGTAGGATAAACAAGAGTGAATCTCACAATTTTTTTTCACTCTTAACTTTGCAAGAAAAGTCTTAAAAAAAAAAGTGGCTTTACAATTTGTGATAATCGGTTAATAAATTGCATTTATTAACTTTTTAAATCTTTCTAGTGATTTTAAAACCGTCACAATAAATTTTAATTATATTTCTTAACAAACATTAATAAATAGAAAACCACCATGCAAACATTTAAAATCGATTAAAAAAATTATAACTGATTAAAAGTCATTCTAACATATATAAATTACACAAGATTGATTTTTATTATAAAAAAAATTATAATATCATTTTATTTTTTATTTTTATCTTCTCTTATTCTTTTTTCTTTACTGATTTATTTTGTCACGTATATCTATTTCTTCATTTTTCTGCTTTATTTTTACCTCATCTCCGTAAAAGAAAGAGCCTTAAAAAAAATGGGTGTTGTGATTTCGTGATCTTGTTCCTGAGGAGGGACCACAAGGGAAATTTTGGACGTTGTGAACTGCTCCCATCACCGTACACGTGTATGGTCCAAACCAGCTTAGAATTTGCATGTACTTCACTTATCTTACGGCCTATCTGCGAAAGTTAGCACCACGCCATGTGCAACCCTGCTACGATATCAGAGAAAATCCTACAATAAAATGCTTTCTTTGTTTTTTATATTTCCTTTTTATAAAGAAAAAAAAAAAAGACAACTTGCTTTTGCCTGAAGAAAGCAAATGCAAAATAACGTGGCCAGCTCCATTTCAAAAGTCCATTAAAAAAATTGGAAAATATGGTGTAACTTGACTTTTAGTAACAAAAATAAATTTTGAACATGTCAGTGAGAAAGTAAAGAGAAAAAATTACAAATTAATAAATGATATATTAATTAAGTATTTAAAATTTGATTTATTAATCATTTTCTTTGGTTAAAAAAGTGACGAATGTTACGAAACACTAAAAAGCTGTGGCTCCCGTCAGACATGTTTAATCGGGATCCAATCATCTGGCACTTCTTTTAAGGGACGTTTTCTTTAATCATCTTTGTCTTTTCTGTTTTAGCATTGGATTTAGTGAAGGATCTTATTAATCGATGTACTCAGGGAATCAGAGAATGTTTTTTAAAAAGTAAATAATATGTTTTTATGAATTTTTTTATATATATATAAGTTGTATTGTAAATTACTAAATCATGAAAGTTGTGAGAAAAAAAATACTACTTTTTATTATTTTTTTAACTAATTTTTTTAGAACACTTTTTAATATTTTTTAAACAATTTTAATTACTAGTACTACTTCAAGGATATTATTTAGTATTTATTTTTATTTGAAATAAAAGACAGATATTATTTCCTTCATATTATATGTTTTGTCTTTTAAGATAATACATTTTTTTTTCTAATTAGTATTATCATAAAATGATTTTTTTGTTGACAAAGTCATTTTTATTAAAAAAAATGAAATATAATTTTGAATCTATTTATGTATTCATATGAAAATCGTGAAAATAAAATAAAAAAAACTAATTAACTCTTATATATTAAATATCAACCATTATCTTACACAATAGAGTTTTAAAACTTAGTCTTCAAAGATTTTTAGATACTTATAATTTAGCATGTGTAATATACATATTAAATATTTATTATATATAAATAAACTTCAGAATAAATTATATATTAAATAAATATCATGTCTAAACATATAAATTATATTTAAAATTTTAATACATAAACTATATTTTAGATTTATAATACATAATGTATGTTGTAACATAATATTATTTTTATTTATTAATAATTTATTTTAAAATGTAAAAAAATAGTATTTTAAAATATATTATGTATAGGTTAGATATTTATTATAAATAATTTAAATTTATAATACATAATATATATAAAGTAAATTATTTTATATATTTATGTATAAATTAAATTTGAGTCTTTTAAAGTAAATTGTTAATAATTAAAATTAATTTTGTGTCATAATATAAATTATTTATCCTAAATTTGAAGTATAATTTTTATGTTTAAAAGTATTTATTTGTATGTTTTTTTAAATGTAATTTATATTTTTCAATATAGCATTTACTTGTATATATAATTTTATTATAAATTTTAATTATATATAATAAATATTTAATTTATAAAATATACATACTAAAATAGTAATATATTATTAATCTTAAAAAATGATAAATATTTAAATAAGTGTTATTCTCTTAATTTTACTATTTTGTAAAATTATTATTTTATTTTATCTATTTATTATTTTTTTTATAAAATAATTTAAAATCATACTTATTATAAGATATAGGAAGTATTAAATAAGTAAACTCGTAAAATTTTAAAAGATTTATATGTAGAGGGATGTTCTCGTTGAAAATAGAATGATATACTGCACATAAATTTTAAAATTAATTTGAAAACTAAGATTTTGTAATATATAGTTTAACTGATCAAATAAACATAATAAAAGCAAAGACATACTTAATTCATGGCCGTCTCTGACTGGTTCAATTCCTTACTGTAATTCATTTTTTATAATATATATTATGTTATAGAACGAGATTTGTGGACTGACCTGCATTATTTGTTTAAGCATGTAGATCTGTATTTGAATGAAGCTGTATTCCACAAGTCATTTTTTTTTTTTGTGAAATACTTGATTTAGAGGTTAGCCCAAATGGTTCCTGTGTTAGTTTGAAATTGCATCATAACTTTTTTTTTTTTTTTTTTTTAATGATATAGGCAAATGATTTTTCTTTAGCTGGAGGACTTTGGTGACATATAAAACTATGCAGTAGTTTTAAAGGTATTTTTAAATAAAATATTAGAATTAATATGTTTAATTTCAATTTCATGCTACACTTCCCAATGCCCTGCAATCACCAAGGTCAATATCAACTGCGGCAAACAATTTGAAAAGAAAATTGAGGCGAAATATTTTTTTTTCCTATATCTGGTTCAAAATATCATGTTTATTTTTAAAACATTTTTCAATTTTATCAGCTTCACAACACATAATCCTATTGTGTGTTTGGTTTGGTAGTAGAAACTTTGGTAAGTATAAAGTACTAATTGTGGTGAGTTCATTAAAAAATAACTATTTATTGATTTCAAAAATCACGAGTATACTACAAAAAATACTTGCTACTTGTTGTTTTTAGAATTCTTGGTGAGTTAAATTTATCACCAACCCAAACATGGTTTTTGGATTTGGTTGAAGTTAATTTATAATTTGATTAACTTACGAGTAGAAAATTATAGTTGTGAACAAAATTATAGTTAATTTATCTTAAAAATAAGAATTTATCACTTTATAAATTTTATTATGTATAATATTGTTGTTCTTAATGGACCAATAAATCCTAATATTTATAATCGCTATTGTACTTATTTCATAATTCATAACATCTTGCTCCAACTATTCATGAAAGATGTGATTCAAATATCAATAAAAGTCTATCTTACTATAAGATACATTTGATAAATTGATCGATCATTAGTTAAAGAATCCGTTCAAGATACAAGTACGATATTTAATTACTAGAATAACAATATGGTAAAATTTATTTTTTCTTTCATGTTACTTCTACCTTTTTTTTTAATCTTATTTTTTATTACATCATATGTCCGCCTCAATCCACCCAAAAATGGGTGAACTTAATCACTACCTTTATCTTTTTTTCTTTAACCTTTACGCAGACAAATCATTTAACCGAATTTTATTTTTATTTTATCATTTCCTCTTCCATAAAAAGTAGTACTACATGGTTATTATAATTGGAATTTAATTTAATTTTTACAGCATAGTTTTGCTTTATGATTGAATAATAGTAATTATTCATATAATATTAATATATGATATAACTCCATGCCACACGGGCGAGAGTCATAATTACCCGCAATCAATCGTCATCTCCGACCCCACGCCAACGCCATGCAGATCCATTCTTTCGCAACTCTTGGCTTCTCTGCACACTCGCAACGCACCGTTTCACAGCGCCTTTCTGCGTTGAACACGAACACAACCGTTCAATATAGCGGTTCCCTTTTCTCCCTCAGTTAGCTCCACTGCTCTGGACAGTACCACTGCAGCGTCGGCGCTTGTTCGTCGGAGAAGAAATTGCAGGCCTCGTCCGCGCTCAAGAAATTGTGCTCCTCCATCTTCACGTACTGCGCCTGATACGTTTTCTGGAACTGAAAATAGTTCACCGGAGCTTGTGGCGGCGCCGTCGACACCGAGCAGTTGAACTTCAACGGAGAGGACTCGGGAGAGAGTAACAGATGCTGAGTCTTGGGACTGTTGCTGTTGTTGTTGTTGTTGTCTTCGTTCAAGATCGCGCTCGAGTCGCTGTCGGAAGAACCGTCTTTGAAGTCCACTTGCAAGAGCGAAGCCGCTCCGACACCGTTGTTGAAACACTCGTAGTTCAACTGATCCTCCGACTCCGAACCTGGAACCGAGGTTTCGCATGATGGGTCGCTCTTACTTTGTTGTTCCGTCGTTTTCTCTTCTGTCTCCGGCATCATCGTTATCTCCTCCTTCACGGAATATCCGCTTTCGGTGTTCCCTTCTTCCAATCTTGATTTCAATTCCTTAATCTACAAACACCAAACGATTCTAAATTACTCACTACAACCACACTAAACTATGCCCATGCTTCCACAAATCTTATTTGTTCTTTACCATACTTTTTTCTTTGATTAAATTACACCCTTATTTCTTAAAATCTGTGAAATTACACAATATTAATTTCCTTATTCTTTTAAGGTTTAAGGTAACTTCATTAAATAGACTTTAAGGTTATTAATATAATGTCTAAAGAGGAATATTTATCAAACGAAACAATTTAGACGGGTCGTGATAATAAAATAGGTTTAATTAATTTGTTGTTATAGTTCCATTAATTTTACATAGTTCATATATATATACTAATTTTTTTTATAACTTTAAATTTTAATGTTTATATATATCATTTTTTTAATTCAACGATAAAATTTATAAACTATATAAAAAAGACTAAAAAATTATTTTTAGTTATAGGAAATAAAAAAAAAAGATGAATATATCTATAAAAAGTTATGAAGCTATATAGAGAACAAATAAAGTAATTAAAAAATAAGAAAAATTAGGGATGCAAGTGTAATTTGAGCATAAAGGATGATTATGTAATTTAGTAAAAAAATTTATATTGATGTTTGTGGAAGTTCTATTGTACCTGTTTCCGTAGCGCTTCGTTGTTCTGATTGATGGTGTCGTAGTTGAGCTTAAGAGCATCATAGTTGGCTTTAAGAACACCATAATCTCTTTCCAATTGTTTGGTTTTCCACCTAGCTCGACGGTTTTGGAACCAAACGGCCACTTGTCTAGGTTGCAACCCGAGTTCTTGGGCAAGCTTCACCTTTCTTTCAGGTTCAAGCTTGTTTTCAACCTCGAAGTTCTTCTCCAAAGCCTTGACTTGATCCACACTTAGTCTACGCTTCTTCTCAGATTGATGCCCCGCTTCTTCAACGCACCCTTCCTCGTCGAGTCCGTCAAGCATCGATTGGAACTCCCTACCATACATGTGATGGCTGTTCCTCGGACTGTGTTCCTCTACATCAATGCAAATCACACTTAATCATTAGTATAATCAACACAAAACACTAATAGTAGTAGTGGTTAATTCTTTCACAACCCATATCATTCTATGCACCCCATTAACTTATTATTGCTCTTTTTCTATCACTTGTTTTATTTGCATCTCGAATTAGAGACCAATCTGACTCCTATTTCTATAACTGTGGTTGATCTGAGGAGTAATTGTAAATAATAAAAATCAAGTTTTATTACATCATATATTCCTTATAGTAGTAATATTTACTCCGGGTGTCAAAGTGTAAAAAAAGAAATCAATTTTTAAAAGATAAACACACATGGGTCTTGGATCTGTAGCTGAATCTACAAAGGAAAAACAATAAACAAGTGTGAATTAATGAAGCACCTGTTGAAGGACAAATTGTGATGAGAGGAGGGGAAGAATCTGAGCTGCCAAGTCTCTTCATGATGAGTTGGAATTAAAGATGGGATCTTATTAGATGAAGAAAGTGTTTTGATCCCCTTTTATTGTGTGTCAATGTCTTAAGATCTCAAAAGAAAGCTGAGAAGTGGGAAGCTAAGACAAGGTTTTTTCACTCAAAAGGAACCATCGAAAAGGAACTATCCTGTATCAAACAGCACCAATATTTACAATCTTGTAAGCAGCTATACAAGTACCACTTATCTCCATCAACACCACGTTGTCCCTGCTTTCTCACCACTTCTTTTCCCTCTTCACCCATCAAAAAATTCATACACGCGAAACTAAATAATCCCAAAACGCGAAAATATAAAAAGCACAAAAATAAGGTACTAAATTTTTCTCGGATGGATCATTTTACATGGTTGAATCACGTTAAAAAGTACTGGTAAAAAAAATAATAATTATTTATATGATCGCTAAATAATAAATTAATTGTCACAAAAAATTAATTTTGGTGTAGTGTTTTGTTTTGTAAACTAAACAATAAATGAGGGGAGAACGAAAATAAATTTGGTTATTTGTTACACAGGGAATGTGGTAGGATAAACAAGAGTGAATCTCACAATTTTTTTTCACTCTTAACTTTGCAAGAAAAGTCTTAAAAAAAAAAGTGGCTTTACAATTTGTGATAATCGGTTAATAAATTGCATTTATTAACTTTTTAAATCTTTCTAGTGATTTTAAAACCGTCACAATAAATTTTAATTATATTTCTTAACAAACATTAATAAATAGAAAACCACCATGCAAACATTTAAAATCGATTAAAAAAATTATAACTGATTAAAAGTCATTCTAACATATATAAATTACACAAGATTGATTTTTATTATAAAAAAAATTATAATATCATTTTATTTTTTATTTTTATCTTCTCTTATTCTTTTTTCTTTACTGATTTATTTTGTCACGTATATCTATTTCTTCATTTTTCTGCTTTATTTTTACCTCATCTCCGTAAAAGAAAGAGCCTTAAAAAAAATGGGTGTTGTGATTTCGTGATCTTGTTCCTGAGGAGGGACCACAAGGGAAATTTTGGACGTTGTGAACTGCTCCCATCACCGTACACGTGTATGGTCCAAACCAGCTTAGAATTTGCATGTACTTCACTTATCTTACGGCCTATCTGCGAAAGTTAGCACCACGCCATGTGCAACCCTGCTACGATATCAGAGAAAATCCTACAATAAAATGCTTTCTTTGTTTTTTATATTTCCTTTTTATAAAGAAAAAAAAAAAAGACAACTTGCTTTTGCCTGAAGAAAGCAAATGCAAAATAACGTGGCCAGCTCCATTTCAAAAGTCCATTAAAAAAATTGGAAAATATGGTGTAACTTGACTTTTAGTAACAAAAATAAATTTTGAACATGTCAGTGAGAAAGTAAAGAGAAAAAATTACAAATTAATAAATGATATATTAATTAAGTATTTAAAATTTGATTTATTAATCATTTTCTTTGGTTAAAAAAGTGACGAATGTTACGAAACACTAAAAAGCTGTGGCTCCCGTCAGACATGTTTAATCGGGATCCAATCATCTGGCACTTCTTTTAAGGGACGTTTTCTTTAATCATCTTTGTCTTTTCTGTTTTAGCATTGGATTTAGTGAAGGATCTTATTAATCGATGTACTCAGGGAATCAGAGAATGTTTTTTAAAAAGTAAATAATAATTATTTATATGATCGCTATACAATTTTAATATCTCAACTTTAAAATAGAGATATTTAGTCCTTTTATTTTAAAAATGCAAATTTTTTTGTCCTTTTATCAAGTTGATATAATTTTAATATTTATTCATACTTAAGTGATATAACATTTAGTAATATAAACATTAAGAAATAAAAAAACAATAATATAAATTAATTTATTAATAAAAAATACTAATTACTCATTCAAATATTTATACACAAATATCTTTTTTGTATATTATTTTTTAATTTTTATCTCTATATATCATGCATTTAAATATTATGTCAATTAAGTAGTGACAAGTTAGTTAACATTAAAGTTAACATTTAATAATCAAAAAATATCAAATTAATGGTAGAACTAAAATTTTATATTTTTAAAATTAGAGAAACTAAAATATCTTTATTTTAAAATAAATGACCATAACTGTGGATTGATAAAAATGAAGAGGTTAAAAGGATAATTTAATCTAAATTTAATAAATTAATTAACATTTTTATAGTATTTTATTTAGATTTATAATTCAAAATAAAAATTTCTAAGTAGCTATCAAAATATATATATATATATATATATATATATATATATTATTCTTTTTTCTTTACTGATTTATTTTGTCACGTATATCTATTTCTTCATTTTTCTGCTTTATTTTTACCTCATCTCCGTAAAAGAAAGAGCCTTAAAAAAAATGGGTGTTGTGATTTCGTGATCTTGTTCCTGAGGAGGGACCACAAGGGAAATTTTGGACGTTGTGAACTGCTCCCATCACCGTACACGTGTATGGTCCAAACCAGCTTAGAATTTGCATGTACTTCACTTATCTTACGGCCTATCTGCGAAAGTTAGCACCACGCCATGTGCAACCCTGCTACGATATCAGAGAAAATCCTACAATAAAATGCTTTCTTTGTTTTTTATATTTCCTTTTTATAAAGAAAAAAAAAAAAGACAACTTGCTTTTGCCTGAAGAAAGCAAATGCAAAATAACGTGGCCAGCTCCATTTCAAAAGTCCATTAAAAAAATTGGAAAATATGGTGTAACTTGACTTTTAGTAACAAAAATAAATTTTGAACATGTCAGTGAGAAAGTAAAGAGAAAAAATTACAAATTAATAAATGATATATTAATTAAGTATTTAAAATTTGATTTATTAATCATTTTCTTTGGTTAAAAAAGTGACGAATGTTACGAAACACTAAAAAGCTGTGGCTCCCGTCAGACATGTTTAATCGGGATCCAATCATCTGGCACTTCTTTTAAGGGACGTTTTCTTTAATCATCTTTGTCTTTTCTGTTTTAGCATTGGATTTAGTGAAGGATCTTATTAATCGATGTACTCAGGGAATCAGAGAATGTTTTTTAAAAAGTAAATAATATGTTTTTATGAATTTTTTTATATATATATAAGTTGTATTGTAAATTACTAAATCATGAAAGTTGTGAGAAAAAAAATACTACTTTTTATTATTTTTTTAACTAATTTTTTTAGAACACTTTTTAATATTTTTTAAACAATTTTAATTACTAGTACTACTTCAAGGATATTATTTAGTATTTATTTTTATTTGAAATAAAAGACAGATATTATTTCCTTCATATTATATGTTTTGTCTTTTAAGATAATACATTTTTTTTTCTAATTAGTATTATCATAAAATGATTTTTTTGTTGACAAAGTCATTTTTATTAAAAAAAATGAAATATAATTTTGAATCTATTTATGTATTCATATGAAAATCGTGAAAATAAAATAAAAAAAACTAATTAACTCTTATATATTAAATATCAACCATTATCTTACACAATAGAGTTTTAAAACTTAGTCTTCAAAGATTTTTAGATACTTATAATTTAGCATGTGTAATATACATATTAAATATTTATTATATATAAATAAACTTCAGAATAAATTATATATTAAATAAATATCATGTCTAAACATATAAATTATATTTAAAATTTTAATACATAAACTATATTTTAGATTTATAATACATAATGTATGTTGTAACATAATATTATTTTTATTTATTAATAATTTATTTTAAAATGTAAAAAAATAGTATTTTAAAATATATTATGTATAGGTTAGATATTTATTATAAATAATTTAAATTTATAATACATAATATATATAAAGTAAATTATTTTATATATTTATGTATAAATTAAATTTGAGTCTTTTAAAGTAAATTGTTAATAATTAAAATTAATTTTGTGTCATAATATAAATTATTTATCCTAAATTTGAAGTATAATTTTTATGTTTAAAAGTATTTATTTGTATGTTTTTTTAAATGTAATTTATATTTTTCAATATAGCATTTACTTGTATATATAATTTTATTATAAATTTTAATTATATATAATAAATATTTAATTTATAAAATATACATACTAAAATAGTAATATATTATTAATCTTAAAAAATGATAAATATTTAAATAAGTGTTATTCTCTTAATTTTACTATTTTGTAAAATTATTATTTTATTTTATCTATTTATTATTTTTTTTATAAAATAATTTAAAATCATACTTATTATAAGATATAGGAAGTATTAAATAAGTAAACTCGTAAAATTTTAAAAGATTTATATGTAGAGGGATGTTCTCGTTGAAAATAGAATGATATACTGCACATAAATTTTAAAATTAATTTGAAAACTAAGATTTTGTAATATATAGTTTAACTGATCAAATAAACATAATAAAAGCAAAGACATACTTAATTCATGGCCGTCTCTGACTGGTTCAATTCCTTACTGTAATTCATTTTTTATAATATATATTATGTTATAGAACGAGATTTGTGGACTGACCTGCATTATTTGTTTAAGCATGTAGATCTGTATTTGAATGAAGCTGTATTCCACAAGTCATTTTTTTTTTTTGTGAAATACTTGATTTAGAGGTTAGCCCAAATGGTTCCTGTGTTAGTTTGAAATTGCATCATAACTTTTTTTTTTTTTTTTTTTTAATGATATAGGCAAATGATTTTTCTTTAGCTGGAGGACTTTGGTGACATATAAAACTATGCAGTAGTTTTAAAGGTATTTTTAAATAAAATATTAGAATTAATATGTTTAATTTCAATTTCATGCTACACTTCCCAATGCCCTGCAATCACCAAGGTCAATATCAACTGCGGCAAACAATTTGAAAAGAAAATTGAGGCGAAATATTTTTTTTTCCTATATCTGGTTCAAAATATCATGTTTATTTTTAAAACATTTTTCAATTTTATCAGCTTCACAACACATAATCCTATTGTGTGTTTGGTTTGGTAG